CATGTGCTCTCTCTCATTCTCTCTCTCTCAAATGAATAAATAAAATCTTTAAAAAAAAAAAAAATCCATCAACAATGCATTCAAATCCCCACGTAAAAGAACAAGTCCAGACTTCCTAGTGTGGCACATGGAACCTTCTAGATGAATATCCAACCACAACAGAATTCTTTGCTCTTCCCCAGCGTGTCATACTTTCTTAAAGCTCATGCCTTTTACCTGCTGTTCCCTCTGACAGGACTGGTCCTTCAACTCTTACCCACTCTGCTCCTTTACAACTCGTCTCCTTCACGGTATCGTCCCTCTCATCTCTTCATCGCCATCTGGCTGGCAGACAGCTGAGGCTTCTAAGGCAAACCGGGAGCACACTACTGTGTCTATGCTAGTCGGCCTCCTGTCTCAACTTTAACGGCTTCTTGAGAGACTGCCTCTTCCATCTTTGTTTTCACGGCCAAACACAAGAGGAATTTAAAACTTGTTCAACAGAAGTGCCACATGTACACACATAACCTTGAGACGACAATGGATGGTTTTCAAATCTGCAGTTAGGATACCGTTCTAAGGCAAAGTTTCATTTTTTTCTTTTACGCTTGCAAGCAGCCACACTCACTATACCTGGAGGTACAGAGGAAGACTCTTTTGGATTGCAGTCAGCAGCGGTGCAGGCAGCTCTCTCTCTGGCTGTAGAACGGTGTGTGGCAGCAGTAAGCAGTCAATGATCCGGAATAGGAGTTTTTGTGCTTTCGAGCTGGCAAAGATCTGTGCCCATGATTTAACAAGAATTCCTGACAGAGGAGAGGGTAACAGCAGGTATGGTTACCTTCTAACCAGGAAGTTTTGCCATTCCACCATAAAATTTATATTTAAAGCACACAGGACCAAGTTAAAGTAGGCAATAGAGAGAAACACGTATTAGAAGTCAAAAGACTGATGTCACGTCATATATTTCACTAAAGAGACAAATTTCTCTCAGAATTGTGGGCTAAGAAAAACATACATTTCCTAAGCAACTGGCATTTAATACATATACGCTCAAACACACCATGTGATTTGGCTATACATTACGTGAATATACTGATCATACGTCGTAATTAATCAGATCTCTCTTCTTGCTTTGGCTGCTAGGAAACTCAGAGGCGAATTTATAACCCAACTTTAAGAACTCTAGAAGACCATGCATTGTGCTTTTATGTGTGTGCTCACTCTTCCTGGGCTTCAGCAAGCTACTACTCCACATTTACTTTTTTGATACCTTTATCTTACATAAAATTTTATAGGCTGTTTCAACCCAGTTTGCAATACAAAAAGATATAAC